GGACGGTTCAGGACCGTCAGCGGTCGGCAATGGGAAAATGCCGATGACGGCCCTGAACCATCCTCGGTCCTTAAGGGGTTAAAATAGGCTTTTCTCCTAGCTGTCAGTCAATGCCTTGGGGTGCCGAGGCATTAATTGACAAAGAAGGACGAAAAAGACTGATTTTGATCCCTTTTTGAATGGGAAGTACATCTGCCTTCCTCCAATTCTCCGGAACAATTCCTGAAAGAAAAGAATCTCGAAAGAATAAAAAAACAGAGAAATTAAAAAGGGAGGTGTCCCTCTGCTCCCCCCCCCCACACTCCCCCATGCTGGAGCTACTAATTTAAAGGAACACTATAGTGACAGACAGTGGCGTACTAAGGCGGGGTGGGATGGGTGGGGGGGTCCATGTAGGATGCCACCAGGTAGTGGGGTGTCACCAGGGCTGGCCAGGCTTGGGGTTCTTTGAGCTCTGTGACTGCACAGGGCGCCATGGCAGTAGGGGTGCTGGGCAGCTGACACAGCTCATGCATGCAGGGGCCGGTTAGGAAACACAGCAGGAGTACAGCACGAATAGTTGGGTCGGAGCCAAACCGGCCATGGGGGCGGAGCCAACCTGGTTGCTGGGACGGAGCTAAAGGCAGCCTCCATTCGCTGCTTTTACTGCAGAACACAGAGGGGAAGCAGGGAGGAGTCACTGCTTCCCCAATTACAACACACCAGGAACTTAAGTGACTCCACTCCTCTGCCAGTAAGTGAGAGAGTGTGTGTGTGTGTAAAACTGTAATTGTGTCTGACTGTGACTGTATGTGTGACTCTCTGCCTATGACTGTGTTGTGACTGTCTACCTGCGCCTGTGTATGACTATCTGCCATTGACTGCGTCTGTTACTGTCTGCATGTGACTGTCTGTGACTGTGTGTGTGACAGTCTGCCTGTGACTGTGTGTGACTGCCTGTGACTGTCTGTCTGTGACTATGTCTGTGACTGTTTGCTTGTGACTGTCTGTCTATGCCTGTGTGCAAATGTCTGTCTGTGACTGTCTACCTGTGAATTTGTCTGTCTGCTTGTGACTGTCTGCCTGTGACTGTCTGTTACTGTGTGTGTGACTGTCTGCCTGTGATTGGCTAACTGTGACTACAACTATGACTATCTACTTGTGACTGTCTGCCTGTGACTGTCTTTGACTGTGTGTGTGACTGTTTGTCTGTGCCTGCTGTGTGAATGTCTGCTTGTGACTGTCTACCTGTGACTGTCTGTGTTTATGTGTGTGGTTGTGTGTGTATCTCTGTGGTTAAGTGTGTGTGTGTGTGTGTGTGTATATATATATATATATATATATATACACACACACACACACACAACCACAGATATACACACACAGACATACACCTATTGTGTTATTTTGTGTGTATATTAATGTGTATGTGTTTGGTAGATAGCTCACTCATTTGGTGTCATTAAATATTGCAATCCCACATAAGGATAACAAATAAGGAAGTTATCTACTAAACAACTAAAATTAAGAAAAGTTTATTTAATTTTTTTTAATTTTGATCTTTTAGCTGTTTAGTAGATGATTCCCTAAATTGGTGCCCTTATGTGAGATTTACATATTTAAAGATACCAATTAGGGTGCTGTTTACCAGATAGCTCCCTTATTTGGTGTTCTTAAATATGACAATCCCACATAAGGATTGCAAATAGGGGAGATATCTGATGAACAAAGATCAAAGTTAAGAGGTGTCAGCCAGCCCACAACAAGAAATCTGGATGGCTAATATGAATTATATGCAAATTTGTTGACTGATGAAAAGTTTTAATTCTTCCCTCCCCCAATTTTGATTGTGGTGTCTTATGTGCCTACTCTCCCCCCCCCCCATTCCCCATATATTTGAGTTGCCACTGTGTCTGCATGTGTCTGTGTATCTGTGTGTGACTGTGTGTCTGCATGTGTGTCAGTGTGTATATATGTGTGTGCATGTGTATATGTGCATATATGTGTGTGCATGTGTATATGAGCATACATCTCAGAATCTCGCCAACACTGCATTCAAAAACCACACTACATTCACTTACACATACTCCATACAAAAACATGCTTACATTCAAAAACATAAACATTGCTTAGTGATAAATACAGAAAAAAAAAATTGTGGTTGTATTTTAAAGTTGGGGAGGAGAGTGTGGTGGGGGTGACAAAAATAGGACCCGTTCTGGGTGCCAAATGCTCTCGGTACGCCCCTGGTGACGTGTGGGCTGTTGTGGCCCGCCCAGCTTCAATCCATCTGAAAAGGTGAAATTACTCACCTTTTCCCATGCCACACCTGTCTCACAGCGGCTGGACTCTCCTCAATGGCTGATATCATCTATCTTTATGATCTCAGTCAATCCAATGTTTTCCATTCCAATAGACTTCCTGGAAACCATTTAAGTGTGTCCAGTCCACCTCTTTATTACTACTGAATTGATCCAGCCAAACCAATTTTTTTCACCGTGCAATAGTCTAACAGATATAACTCCTCACTCAACAAATGTAATCCTTAAATTAGACTTTTTTAAGGTTCTAATGTGTCCTGAGCTCTAATTTATTTTATAATCTAGTTTTGTGCAGATAAAGCAAAACTGTATTTTGTGTGCTTATGATGTTTGCCTATACTCCTTTGACGCATATTCATGATTCTCCAATTAGAATTCTCCTCTCCTTGACATATCTACTCACAATGCATCCCATGCAAATTCATAACTACTACCTGTACTCCACCCCTATGTATGTAAAGCTGTAATTCTTAAAGGAACACAATATGCACCAAGATCATTTTATCCCATGGAAGTGGTTTGTGTGCAGTGCTCCTGTCTGTTTAATACTGCAATGTCAAACTTTGCAGTTTCTGATAAATTGAAATAATTTCAGTGCAGGTTTAACAACAATCTATAGAATTTATGGAAATTGAACAAAAACAAAACATCCAGTAAATTGTAGTTCTGTGATCACAAATGAGAAAGGTTGGAGAATGGCCAAGCTAACAGACATTTGACTGATAGCATGTGCTACAACAGTATAAACTATGTTGAAAAATATATTTCAACACACAATACGTCAAACCTTGATGTGGATAGGCTACTGCAGCAGAAGACACCACCAAGGTCCATTTCTGCAAGCTAAGTTGTTAGGATAGAAAATTGAGACAGTGGCTGCAGGCACACCAAGACTGTACAGTAGAAGAGTTTAAAAAACTTGCCAGGTTGGACAAATGTTCATCTCTGCTGCAGAATGCAGATGGAAAGCAACATGAGTCCATGGACCCATGCTGCCTAATGCCAGTGGTTTAGGTTGCTGTTGATGGCGTCATGGTTTGAGGATTATTACCTGGCAAATATCAGCTCCATTACAGCAAAAGTATTTTTGCTGACCATGTGCATTCCCTAAAGACCTCAGTCTACCCATTTTCTCATGGCTACTTCCAGCAGTATGATGCACCATGTCATAAAACACATCAGGACTAGTTTAATTCTAGGATGCAAACCTAAATATTCCTAGAGCAGAGGACATAGATAGTAGAGTATACTTGTCCTTAGGATGGCAAGGCTTAATGCAGTGTCAAGATAAATGAAACAGCTTATGAGCAGAGTTGAGCGGACACCTGGATGTTCAGATCCGGCGGCTTCGGCCAAACTTTGAAGAAAAGTCCAGGTTAGGGCTCGAACTTGACCCCGAACTTGACCTCGAACCCGAACCCCATTGAAGTCAATGGGCACCCAAACTTTTGGGCACAAAAATGGCTCTCAAAAACTCCTGGAAAGGGCTAGAGGGCTGCAAAAGAAAGTAAAATGGGGGTAAGATTAGGACAAGTGCCCTGTAAATAAATGTGGATAGGGAAATCACTTAAAAATAACATAAAATAAGCAGCCGCTTAGTAGATAACTCCCTAATTCACACGGTATTAGGGAGCTATCTACCAAAAGGCTAAAATACCTAAATTGGTCTTTCAGCCACATTTACTAATACTAAGTA